AGACTTAGTCAGACGTCACATGTGCTGTACTTCACTTGAGTCCCTAAGTTCCAAGGGAACAGCAGTGTGGACAGAAGAAGAAGACTTAGTCAGACGTCACATGTGCTGTACTTCACTTGAGTCCCTAAGTTCCAAGGGAACAGCAGTGTGGACAGAAGAAGAAGACTTAGTCAGACGTCACATGTGCTGTACTTCACTTGAGTCCCTAAGTTCCAAGGGAACAGCAGTGTGGACAGAAGAAGAAGACTTAGTGAGACGTCACATGTGCTGTAGTACATCGATATTGGGAGTGTATAATTTAGTGGGACTTTTACAGTTCCTGTGTTATAAATCCGTTGCCAAGAAACGGATGGAGAAGACTAGTGGAGACAGACTGATGAGATCAGTGTGGAGTGATTGTAAATAGTGCAAATCAGCAATAGTGTAATAATTATTTGTAGTTACGACCAGCAAGTGGTCAATAAATCGATTCGCCAATCCAAACCAGCGTCTACTGTCACCCCTACACGTGACAGTAATCTCTCTTATGCCTGCTGGCCCTTCTGATTAAGAATTATTTGTTGTCTAAGAAAATCAGAGAAAGAAAAATGTCCCGTCAATTCTAGTTGGGGCTTTTCCACCTTCACGGGTCAGTCCGTCCTGAGAAGCCAACGTTCTCTCAAGTGATTAAGAAATTTCCTATTTTTATGAAACTGACAGGATCGTTGTGTTCATAGAACTCATCACTGGACCCTACCTGAGTCATATGAATCCATTTCACATTTTCAGAAACTGCTTCTTTAGATCTCTTTTAATATTATCCTCCCATATATTCGCAAATCGTGGCCATTCACTAACAGACATTATGTGTCAGTATCGAAATATAATAAAAAGGAAATTCTCTATATTCTTAAGCAAAAGGACTCGGATGGCCTCCTCTTATCGAGTACACGTTGACGACTTACTGGTATTCCTGGTCGGTGTGCTAGATCCCGCTGCAAAATGTTTGCAGGTCCTCGTCCTCCGCACAGGAAACGCAAAGTTGCATGTTAGTGGACCAAAGGCATGCGCAGCTACTGGTAGACAGAAAGCGAGAATGAGGATTAGAACGTGATACAGCGAAGACAGAAACGAGTGATTCGCGGACAGAGCTGCTCAATGCAGAGGTACAGAGACAGGCTTGTATGATGAATGAACTGGTGATATGATTATGTGTAATGAATAGCAAAACATCTGGAAGGAATTGGTTTTGTTGTATTTAAAGATACAATCCCTGAATTTAGAACCCAGGACTGCTCTCATTATAGCAATTAGGCTACGAGGTGGAGGGCCGAGGAATCGGGGTTCGATTCCCCGCAGAGCCAAGAAATATTTCTCCCCTCTATAGCGTCCCCTACTAAATGCTCACCTTGGTGCTGTTTCCTCGGAATAACGCAACAGTGTCATGAAGCTGGCCTCCCATCTACGTTTCACTCTGAGCTTAAGAATGATGGAGCTATACCTCCACTCTCCTTTCTGTATTCAGGCTGTGGTGTCTAACTAGTTAAGCATGGGAATGACATTGCCTTTATAGCCTCGAATTCACATAAAGTAACTGAAAAAGACCATGGAAATCAATGATCAGGGCAGTCGGTAACTCGACCAGTATTCCAACTGCGTATTCTCCAGGTGGAAATATAAAACTTCTGCTGTTCTATCAGCTCAGATTAGAGGTAAGAAAAGGTAAACTATCCCTGTAATAGGCCGTGGAGGCCCGCAGAATTGTGAGACGTCGAGGCATCCACATTTTCTAAATAATCGGTTCACAGATGAGGTTGTCAGCCTTACGCGCCGGCCGTCCTTTGCCCTCAGGAATATTCCTGATACTAATTTCTATTAGAGGCTGAGTCGACCCCAGGGCCATAGTGCGGCTAAAGGCGAAGAATAAGAGAAACAAAACATTGAGACAATGGGTAGATCGCAGAATTGAGAATTGGCTAGAAACTTTACGCAGGGCACCTAATTAATTATAAAAATAATATGACACATCATTAGTACCAACCATCGGCACGGATACCATAAGCGGTAAGCGATTAGTTACCGCCCGTGCAGCTGTGATAAGGCAGGCAGTCACGGTTTGTGTGCCCACTAACGGTGTTAAGAAGCCACAATGTCGTTCAATGTCACGTGAAACTAACCAGTTGGTTAGTTACAGACATGTAACTACATTATTAGATGTGCAAATACTTCCTTGTTTAACTAATTCCATGGAGCTCAGCCCTTCTTGAGAAGTCACCAGCTGTGCAGATACTCAAGAATTTTCAAACATTTTATGGAACCCAAAGGTTCATTACACCCTCCACTGGTCCCTATCTTGATCCAGATACCACCCCATCCTACCTCTCTAAGACCCATTTTAATATTATCCACCCACCTACGTATTGGTCTTTTTAGTGATCTCTTTCCTTCTAGCATTCCTACCAAAATCCTATATTTCAATTTTTGTTAGAATCCTTCCAAGTACGAGGCCCTTTGTGACATTTCGTAAGAAGTTCCTTTTTACGGCGAGTTGTTAAACTCGCGCCTAACCTTCAAGCTGGAGAACCACACATTCTCGGCTGTACGTGACTCATTATTCAGTATATTCGCTGCTACCCTCCATACCTGGAGGCCGCCTCCTCCATCCGCAACCTGAGGACGCGCCATGCCGGGGTGACAGGGGACCAACTTAACATGAGACCCCTCTGTTTAATATCTCCTAATTTCTGCACTCGACTTGAGAAATGGCGACTGGTCCTGTGAAAGACTAGTGAAGATGCGTACAGCGTGCGTAATATCTGTGAGAGAAGAGCAAAGTGCGAATTAGCTGAGCAACCAACACCCTATGGACGCAGAACGAGAGTTTCAACACATCTGAAAGGAAAACGTCGCTGCAGATCATCCCCATATATCTCCCAATTCAAAACCCTTACCTCTAACATCAGCCTTCGTTTATTGTTCGGGGTGACGCGAGTTCCTTGAAACTGTGGCTGAATATCGGAGTTTTCTTCCAGCCCCGGATCGCAGATAACAATAGGACATTGATGGAATAATAACTGACAAGGAAGGATCGTGGTATTTGGGGGAAAATCGTGCTTCGGTGCCATTTTGCCCCTTCAAGTCTCACATGGACTGTCACTGGATTGAACCCGGGCCTCCGAGTTGAGAAGCCGGTGACTGTCTGCAATAGGGCACGGCCTGAGATCCGTCATAATATTCCTCTCCGTTTCTGAACGCTTCCGAATGTGCTTCTTCACCGTTTTCGTCCCCATGTTCCAAACCCATGACCAGTTTACGTTCAGAAACTACAACATATAAATATATTCAAATGACAATTGTAAAGAAGTCCGCAGCATACAGCAAAATGTTAATGCATTTTGCTGTAAGGCAGTGGAAGAAACTGTAATATCAAATAGGAATTGGAGAAATGGGGGAAAAGTTCTTCTACGTGTTGTGCAATAAGACGAAATATCATAAATCACTTCTGTCTTCTCACTCTCTGGTCATCCTGAATTGTCCCACGTGGCTAGGATGAAGAGCTTCCGGTGGAAATGATTTCAAGTTTACCTCTCATGATAATGACCATAGCGGTGGTGGTAGTGACGATGATGATTGTTGCTCTGGTGATAGCTGACAGATAGCCATATTTTTACACGGGATCCGACCCATGATTCCGGCCTGGTATTCCCTCACGTACGAGAACTTTTCACTATGTTAGAGGTAAGGGAAGAAGAAGAAACAAAGAAAATAAGAATTTGATGCGACTAATTTCTAATCCAACACTCCTTGATAGCTAGGTTTCCCACGGGTATAGTAAAATATATAAATATATTATGAATAAGCAAAAATAGACAATAAAATTAGGGGCTGAGGAAGATGAAAAAGAAAATACTGTAAGAGGAAAATTAAAACAAAAACATACTGTGACATGTTGACCCCTACCTCCCTAGCGGCACGTAGCGGTAACGTAGCGCTCGCGTAATAGGCGAGTCATCACCCCGCAACTCTCCCCGCGGTGACGTCACGAGCGGAGCCGAAGTGAGCTGAGTCCCCGCAACCTTGAAGCTATGCAAAGCGAGTCAACAGCGGTGACGTCACCAAGGGGTAACAGCGTTGCTAGGCTATACGCCACGTCACAATACATTTGGAAAGGACACTGGTTCAGGGAAATAACATTGAGAAAAATGGGGTGAAAAGTTTGATAAAATTACTCAACGAGAAGTCAAATTTTATTTCAGCGTCGTACAACGTAACTATTTATTATAGGTTCCTTCAACACAGCTTCAGTATAAAAAGTAAAGCTATCCCTATAACAGGCCGTGGAGGATCCTCACAATTCGAGTAAAAATGTAATAAATTTATACTTTTTGTTTTTTACTTTTAAACGTGTTTCGGCCATATATGACCATTATCAGGCAAATTATCAGAGACAACACCATTCGCAACAAGATTTACTACAAGCGGAAACGAATACACAAAATAGAACGTGCTAGTTACAAAACCAGCACACAATCACACAAGTTATGACCTCGTTCTACTGTGAATCAACAGCAGTAAGAGTTAACCAAATCTTAATAATAAATAAATATGTTAACGTTCAAAATTTTGAAGTAAATTTACCCTAATATATTTTATGTTTGCCTATGAACTATAAGTGGCATTGATAATATAAATAATGCAGTAATGTAATACGCTAAAGCAGAAAGAGATTTGGAAGCTGCCATGGCTGCCGGCAGCCAAGAAGGAAAAGGAATTCGAGCACATGGGCCGATGTAGGAGAAAAGTAGCAGATAAAGTAGAGTGTGAATGTAAAGTGATTTATAGCAAGTGTCACGTAACTTCGAACAAGGCCAAGAGTAACCNTGATGACCACAAATTTCCGAAACATATTGTAAGTGAAATACAGTATAAATTTATTCAATTTATTACGAAATTGTGTTGATGGAACAAATAATAAATACTGAACGATAAGTTGGGTGTTAAAGGAAATACAAAAGCAAGTGTATTTCACTAATTATCTGCAGATAAAAATGTTTAATCATAAAAGCTTTAAATACACGCAATACACAATGAAAGCAGGACAAGTTGTGTTAGAGATTGACGAGTAGGGAAAAGGTGTCACTAATTATGGAGACGCGCAGTCTCTCAGAGGAAGAGTTAATGCCCATATATTACATGTGGAAGTGTGTGGAGAAAAGAAATCGGATTATTAACGAAGACAATAAGGAACACAATAAAATGGTCATATTCACATGGGAAAAATACTGACACAGTTGGTAAATATTCACCAAACTATATCTCTAATTATTTATCTCATATGAACCACAAATAATCAACGTTAGAACAAGGAGGAACAAATACACATACTCGTATACAATAAAAATTTGTTATTTTTAAAGTAATGCAATTAGAAGTGTTTTCCTTCGTCTAGCATTTCTACCTCTCCGAAATACAAGTTCATAATTTACAGTCTGGTTACGGTGCACTGTAAAAATACAAATATAAGAATACTACAATTCTTACCTCAAATTGGTGTCCATAAGAAAAGAAAATGCTTGTGCAATTGAATTGTGTAAGGTCTCATATATGTTCAATACTGCTTCATGTTAGCTACCAAAGAAATCTGTTGCAATGCAACTTTTGTCATTTTATCGAGTTTCGTTAACTTAGTACGTTCGTATGTGTATAAAGCGGTGAAGATGCTAGCAGTAACAAAATAATATAAAATATTTTTTCACAATTTAAAAAAAAAGGAACGTAGTTCAACACTTTCAATGCATTCGTTAAGAAACGCCGGTCTCTTCTGTAACAATACTAGAAAACCAGCCATTGTTGTCGTCTTTTGGAATATGAATATAATTGTAGTCTCTGTATCATGGAAGTTACCAGTGACATTTTTAGGCGGAAGAAGAACTTAAAGGTTCTCGTGAAACTTAGAATAAAAAATTTGATCATGTCAGACCAGATTAGTCAACTGGCAAGACTTAAGTGGCAATTTTTGTCTGATAGCCGAGGGTAACAGCAACCATGGGACATATCAGCTGCACAGAGTACATAGATCTGTAACTGCCTGTATGTTGATTCACGTCTCAAAGCCAGTGTTCACTGGTTCATGGTATGTGTCTTGGTGTTCATTCTAAATTTCACTAGATTGTTTAGTGTCGGAGAGAACTGGTGGCCTCACCTGAACAAGAGGCAAGTACATAATTCTAAATTAATCTTTCAGCATTTGGAAGACACAACAACGGCAATAGGGCAAGCTAATATGGTAAACAGAGAAGTAAACGTAACTTGATAAGTGTGTGTGAACCAGATAAACAAGTTTCCGTTCTTCCCAAAACAAATATATAAAAACGAAAATCTTTCCCTTCAATGGAAACTCTCAATCATATTTCAGGGAAACGCATCTTTTCTTCCTCAATAGTGCTGAGAAGTAGTAGTAAATTACTTATAAGATGGTATTATTATATCATTTTAATGTTTACTCTCGCTTTAAAGTGACAAAGCCTATTTTTATTATTTATCTTAACATTGGTTGAATTTTTAGTTCAGCAAAAGGAATCATATAAGATTAAAGGATGTACTATTTCATAGCAGCAGTTTATGGAATAATATCTGACAGGTGCAACATCGAACACAGGTTAAAACAGATGGGCATCAGCCCATTTGGTTCGATTTATCTTCACCTTGCGATTTCCCTGCAATTGCAGCGAAAGTAAATCCTGTGCTGTTAAAAGCAGTTAGAAAAGCGTCAGGGCTTGTTTCTCTGTGCAGAGAACACGAATATCAGAGTAATACTAAGGATGTCCTTACGGGTCACTAACGTGATACGTAGTGATTTTCCCGTTGTCGTTGATAACGGACGTAGCTTCCTTGGAGCTCTTCCTGACCCCATTCTCGTCGCTACTGCTGCTTGACGAGGAGGTGAACACGGAGAAGTTGTTGCCATCTGACGGTGGAACACTTCCCATCCGAGTGCCGAGCTCCAAGTTACCTTGAGGGGGCGGTGAAATTGATACTGAACCAAAACCGCCCTTAGGACCTAAACTGGCAGAAGCGGAGGCAGAAACTGGACCGCCATCTGAGACGCTTCCACCGAAATGTGTTGCTTCAGGGAACACAAATCCCGGTGAACCACTGAAGTCATTCGGTCCCGGGAAAGCAGCTCGGCTGTTGATTTCACTAAAACCCGGAGGAAGTGGGTCAATGTAATTTCCAGACACTGGGTTATCGTGTCTGGGTATAGATGAATTAGGATTACAGAGAAATAGTACATAAATCACAGCTAAGGACAAAATGTGCAATAGTATTTAGGTTCAGTTGCAGGCAACCGTCACTCGGCTCGCTTTCTTTGACGAAGTCTTGCAACATTTTGAACTGATACTATTATGTCCACGGTATTTTGTGCTTAGTGAAGGAAGAGGCAACTCAGGGCTTCATGAATGTTTACGTCATCACTTCCTCTAAACGCGTAACTTCCATAAAGCCTTGGTCTTGCCAACCGCAGTTTTGCCAACTACTCTGGTCTTCAAAAACGTAAAATGAGCTCTTGATAAGGGACAGCTGTACCGAATATGACAAAACTGTACACTTACAATCAATATTGTCTCACATTTCTGTATTCCGTTGTTCAATAAAAATATTGATTATAAATTCAATTATGTACTTCAAATTTCCAAACATGGGAAGGATATGGGCCACATCCCACAGATAGCAACTAAAAATACTCTTTGCGGCTTCATTACCTTCGTGAAAATATTATGCTATTACATTAAGAAATGTTACATAATTATGATGATATATTTCCCACAACAATCAAGATAAACATCGGTGATATGTGATATATACCAAGTCATTAATCGAACAGAAGAAACAAACATAATTATGACTGTAGTCTCCTGGGTCATGACACTGTCTAGGCTACGAGAAAATATGTCATCGAGAAAACCAGAAGACCACAGCAAAACCTCAAGCCTCGAAGCCTAAGTAGTCCTAATTTTAATCAGAATGTACTGAAGGTCACAAATCAGTATTATTATTTGGATAATAGCAAATATTTTTCTCAAAATGTAGTAACCACATTCCGAAAGAACATACTTTCTTCAGTGCATCATGAATAGAATTCAATTGCTTCTTTAAATATCAGAAATAATAGCTAACGACACTATTCTCCTGGTGTGTAGGCTTCGTAATATCTGTGCAATATCTAGGGTAAATCAACATACAAACCATATGTATGGGTATACACAGTAAATGATTCAACAGTGAAAAATCAAGCTACTTGTAAGCAACTTCACTTCAGGTCTTAAAGTAGGACTAATACCATTATGCAACATCAGCTTCATTTAAACATGGTATTGCATTCGCCACTCGCATAAACAAATACCGGAAAGGTTTACTTCATAATGTGTAGTATATGAAGTTACGAATCGCGTTCTCTGACGCTTGCTTAAAAATTGGAACAATGAAATACATATTACTGAAAGTCTGACGTATCGAATTTCAACAAAATCTGTGAGGCGGTTTCTGGGAGACATTTGAAACCCCTTCTAGGGTTTTATGTAAATTAGGCTTTGTGAGAGACCAGTATGGATTGAAAATAGAAGGGGATAGCAAATTGTATTCTAGTCTCGCATGTGGACTTTTAGCAATACCTGTGAAACAACAAAAATCCATTTGTGTCCAGATGTGAATAAATCTTCTTTATAGAATAATATTGATGGAAATTTTTAATTTTTCTACGGTGCTTATCGATACTGTCCAATATCGAATTGTAAGCAAATCTGTCAAAGCGTCTAAGGAGCTGAAATTAGACCACAGACTGAAATTTGGACAGACATGACCTCCACATAATGCGTTGTATACTTTTACTTTACAAAAAAACGCGTAAAATAAACATGTACAACTGCATGATACTGCACACTTGACACTGTCTTAACTTCAACATCGTTTTAACTGATAGATATACGGGTATTACACAAGTTCGCTTGGATAATTACGTACACATATCAGAGTTATAAGCACACATTTTATATATGTGTGTGCATGTAAACCCGGTTCACAGATTAAGTTGAAATAAGTAAACAATAATAATTATAATAGCAATAAAACTAGGGCAGTAACAACTATTACTGAAGTGATATGCCTGGAGAGCAGTTTTCTCTGCTCCATTCTTAACAAACGTCGATATCCACGCCACTACATCCCCAGTACTGATAGAATTCTGGTGCTTTAAAGTCTCCTGTCTGGAACAGTTCTCCAGACATACCACTTTTGAGGAAATTTGAATCCGTAGGACTGTGATGAACTTCTGCCTGTACTTTAGATATAGCAGTATAAATGTTTAACTTAATAAACTATAATAATAGTAACAACATTAATATTACCGTGAGACGTTGAAGGGTTTGAAGACAGTTTGCGCGCTAGAGTGGGAGTAATGCTGTCGAACCGGAACCCCTGAAGATGCATGGGAGTAGAAAATAGTGGAGAAGTGCTGAGCCGAGGAGGTAGGGGTACTATAGTACTGGGCCGTTGTAGTCGGCGTTCTATAGTACTTCACAGCAGAATTTGGAGCGCTATAGTACTGAGACGTCTTGGCATACTTGTTATAGTGCGGAGCCGAAGAGGCCGGCTCGTTATAGTTCAGAGCAGAAGCAGATGGCATGTAGTAGTATCCTGCTGCTTTGTAATAGTATGGAGTAGAAGCCACAGATGCCGCCACCACAGTTGAAGGCTCCGATGAAGTCCCACCAGCTGTCCATGCGTAATAGTAAGGCCCATTGCTGAAGGTCCCATAACCTCTAAAATTTGGCATAGCATAGATTGCAGCAGGACAAGAAAGAAGCGAAGCCTGGTCTTCTAGGAACATGGCCTACTGGAGAAGTGTTAAATGAGCTCTCCTTCATAAATATTTAAATTAGAAAATTATGCAGACAGACTTTCTGACACCAAATTCAGTCACAAATAAGCGAAATTTCTCATACTATCTATGTACGTAGCCAATTAATTTCGCTGAGCAGAGTCATTCTAGATAAGAAGTCGGCCGCTCATCTGATCAATAAATTCCCTACCTCTCATGGATTTATACATCCATTCCCCCATACGTCTTTATGGCGTAGTGCTTAATTAAGCACAACGACAAATTTACCTTACCTCCTGCGACACCCACAGGTTTCGTTAGAATTTCAGTACACAAGATCTGGCCACTGGAACATGTCCCAAGCAAGCCGAAATAAATCCAAACCTTATTCCTTGAACATCCTGTTTAATACTGTCATCCCACGTATACCCAAATCCCGTTAAGTGGGCTATTCCTTTCAAGTCTTCCGAAAAAAAAAAGTGTGTAAAGTTTTATCTAGCCCTACATGCCTCCAATTTGATTTGATTCTGCGCATCAGAAAACATAATTTATTAAATCATTAGAATCAAATCCATATATTAAGGCACTAGTCCTTTAAGATCCATTTTAATATTATCCATTATTCGTATTGCTGGATATTTCTTAGAATATTAGGCTTATTGACCAATTGACATATAAGTGGATCTGTTATCTTAGCGAGACCTATTTGGTTTTGAAACTTCTCTTCCCTACTTGCAGTGTATAGTATGTTTATAAAGAATGGGATATATTTTACTTTTACGAATTAGTGTCACCAAAAAATACTGAATTTATACATATAATGCACCTGGAACATTGTCAAATTTGGTTGTCTGAAATATTTCAAAAAATATTTTGGAACACTAGGCCTGTTGTTGCATTCAGGGTCAATTTGTTCACAAAAGAGAAGAGCGAGGAGTTGTAGGGATTTAGTGTTCTAAAGTATTAAACCCATAACGATCTCTCTTTTCCGCAACCGCCATGTCAGAATACATAACCTATTTCACAGCATTCAGATGTGTTCTAAATCACACACGGTTACAAGTAAAATATTTATGACAACGTTTCAATCCAAATTACGGACTACAGATTATCCGGATTCTCTGTGGTCTGAGAGCCCCAGATCCGATTGTCGTCGGTTAGGCGATAAATTATTCAACCGTCATTGCGTCTAATTTTTCACATCTGCAAAAAGAGTTCTATGAATTCTGCATGAAGTCTTTTATTTTCTCGACGGCAATTCTCATGTGGAAGGTATCCGGTAAGCCCAAGGGGATCTCGGTGGCAGCCCAGATCTTTGTTTTGGGTTCCTCTCGTGGCATGTGTTCTCATTTCGGTGTTTTTCTGTGTTGCATATGTTGTACTGTGGCTACACAGTCTTCAAGATAGGCCAATATGAAAGTTTGGTCAACCCGGTAAGAACTCGGAATATGAGCGGCCAAAAGGTGACAAGAACAGAGGACTGTAGCCAAAAAGAAAATTATTTATATAATTTATTTTGGCCCCTGTCAAGAACAACATTATCTATCAGTATAACTATAATATGTATGAAGTGGAATTAACTAGAAGTTTGAAACTTGTATTAAAATTTCGTTCATCCCTCAACTATTTTCATGTGTATTATTGACATTATTAAAAAATTTGAAATTATATTTGAGCCAAACTCATTTCATACCATCCTCGAAAGATATGAACGACTACCCATTCCTAAGTGTATCTTTCCGTTTTCAAAATACATTTTGGAATCCTATACATCTGCATGAATTTGCTTTCTTCCTTGTATTTATTACTTATATATATTCATATTGTCGGTCACGGTAGCCGAGCGGTCTAAGGCATATACTGTGTTCGCTCGCTCGGAAGCCGGGATTGTGGGTTCAGATCCCACTCAGGGCATGGATGTTTGTGTGCGTTTTTCTGTGTTTGTGTACAGGTAGAGGCCTTGCGACGAGCTGATCACCCGCCCAAGGGGTCCTACCGAACGTGTAAGATCTAGAAAAACCGAAGTGAACGGAGAAGTTCATGGAGGTAGGCCTAGGCCCACTGGGGCTGTAGTGCTAAGGGAAAAAAATCATATTGGCCAGTTTCGCTTTGAATCGAAATGTGCGTTGTATATTCAGAGTAGATACGTAGATGAGAAACAGACTGATGACAGAAACAAAACAATACTTTGGGGTACAGCAAACTCATTTACACACTGTTTAGTCTTAAGATACCGGCCACAGCGGCCGCGCGGTCTAAGGCATGGACTGTCTCCGCTCTCTGGAACGCTGGGATCGTGGGTTCGAATCCCACTTAAGGTAAC